ACACTCTTTGTAAACATAATTTTGTAATGGCTGGATAATGTACTATTGAGTGGATACACCATAATATGCTAAACTTTTCCCCTAGTGTTGGACAAAAATTTAGAGGAGGTGAAGTTTACTGAAAGCTGTTTGTAACTCAGGCAGGCATATCAATAATTTTATAATTCTGGGACCACATGGGAACCAGGAAGTAAGAAGTCATAAAGTGGAAAAGATTGTGAACTTTTAAATGGAGGACAAATAGAAATAACCCATGAGAATGCATGCCATTTGCAGCAAAACAAAACAGTTATTTGCAGGCATCACACTGAAACTGTGAGGAAGAGAGATCCTGAGTGGGCAAGATACAGTAAGTGGAAAACAATTTGACCATTTATTTATTCACTAAATATTTGTTGAGGAGTTGCTATATGCTAAGCAATGTTCTAGGCCCTGGGAATCAGTGAACAAAACAGAGAATTCTTACTCCATTAGAGCTTATATTTTAGTTGGGAGAGAGAAATAATAGACAAATAAATATATGGTATGCATGAAGAAAAATAAAATAGAACCAAGGGATAAGGAGTATGGAGGTAATGGCTGTTCTTTTAGGATGGTTAGAGCAGGCTTCTCTGAAAAGTTGACACTTGAACAAAGAACCTAGAGGGTTTAAGAATTGAGCATCGCCCATTGTTACTAAGACTATTGTGCTTAAATGTCAGTGATTTTTTTTTTGAGACGTCTTTGTTATATTTCAGTGAACATAGAAAAACACATGTACAAAGTTTCATAGGTTTACTTTTTATAAAACATTTTATTATAAAAGTTTTCAAACATTTGTTACAGTGGACACCCACACACTCGTTACCTAGATTCTCACATGAATATTTTATCATCCTTGCTTGTTACCTGTCTGCCTGTGTACCTGTATCTTTCCCATCATAGGTTTAGTTTTAATGTTGGTGTCTTTACCCTTTATTCTGTACATTCTGAAGCTAATCACTTGTTAATTCTTTTTGCCACAGAGGTTTCCAGAAACTTAATTCATGAGTAGGAAGAAATTTTATATTCATTTTTATATTATTGGTGTGGATTTTAATTTTATTTCATTTGGTTTTTTAAATGCAGTTCCTCAATCCATTTGGAATTCATTTGGGTTGTAGTATAAGGCAAGGGTCTTGCATTATTTATTATTTCCTGTACAGTTGGTTTCCCCAACATTTGTGGCCTTTGGTACATGATGTGGTAAATTTTTAAAAAATGATACATGTTTTTGGTGACTCACGCCACTAATTCCGACACTTTGGGAGGCTGAGGCAGACGTGTCACCTGAAGACAGGAATTCAAGGCCAGCCTGGCCAACATGGCGAAACCTCATTCTACTGAAAATACGAAAATTAGCCAGGTATGGGAGTGGGTGTCTGTAATCCCAGCTACTCAGGAGGCAGAGGCAGGAGAGTCGCTTGAACCTGAGGCAGGAGAATTGCTTGAACCTGAGGCAGGAGAATCGCACTATTGCACTCCATCCTAGCGACAGAGTGAGAATCCATCTCAAAATAAATTAAATAATAATAATACAAGTTTTTATAAAAGCTTGGTAATTTTTCAAATATGTCATCTGTGTTCACTTGATTTGGCTGTTAATTTATTTTGCTAATACTTCACTTTAACAATTTCATTTCATGATACATTGTAATATGTGGCTAGGCAAATCACCCCAATTTTCTTTTTCAGAGTTTTCTTATTTGTGCTACATATTTTGCAAATGAATATTTAAGTCACCCATGTTCTAAATCCTTGTTGCAAGTTTAATCAATATTCATATTTCTTGTTTTTTTGAAAGGAGTCTTTCCTCATCTGTAAAAGGATAAAAATAGCAGTCTTTGATAGGATTATTATATGGATTAAATAACACACATGAAGTGTTTAATATGCCTTATCAACTCAGAGGTTTTTCTGACTTTTCAGAAGGCTCTAAGATTTATTTGGGCTCTGCCTAATTGTAATTCATTTCTGGAGTTTTCCAGATCCATTTTTAAGCAAGAAAAAGATAACTTTGGGATATTACCAATTCAGAAATCAAGCACATTGGAGGAGAAGTGACAGCAGTACCCAAGAAATGTCTCCCTGCCCTTGTTGCAGGATGCTCTAGTATTGTTATGACTAAATGTCTCACAGAATTCTCTACCCTTAGGCCCACTTCTGCAGTGCCCATTCTGCATAGCCAGCAGTGGTCTGGGGTTCAATTGATGTTCATACTCCCATGTCACAATATACTGGAATATGACACCAGTTTTAGTTAGCTTTATATAAGGATGCAGGACAGGAAACATTACAGCATCAAACACATCTTCATCAAGGGCCTTCCCACCACCTATGTGTGGTTCCCCAGCCCACAGAAGACACACTCAACCATTGGTGATGAGAATAAGTGGGAACGTGTGGACCACCCCAGCATGGGAAGCTCAGCACAGCAACTGTCCCTTATAAGAGCTCTTGAGCATGCATGGCTTCCAGGGGCCTGCATGCCTGCTCACACCTCTCAGTCCAGATGCAGTCCACTTCCAGGAGTATCTTTCACAGCACCTGACCCAGCTGCCACGCCACAGTTATCTTAACTCAGTATATTTCAAGGAAATGGTATAAGAAAAAGTTACATCTGGGACTACCTTCTCATGGAGAAAAGATGTAGCCTGCTCTAGGTCCATTTTCCTTACCACATCACTCCCAGTGTCTGGTTCTTTTCCTGGCACTGCAGTTTTCTAACAGGAATAGGCTTTAGAACCTCCTCAGCTCACTGAGGAAACCCTATGGTATTCTGTTTACCAAGACAACAGGGAGCCTAAGTGATGTTTCTTCCACATACCTTCTGTTTTCATAGGGTAGGGCAAGATACTCATCCACATTTGCTAGGGTCTCCTGCTGCTGCTTCTAGCCATACGATTTTCACTCAGGAAAGGGAGGGGTTCAGGCCGTCACTGGTGGTTCTTCAAGTTCCCTTATCAGCACTATTTTCTACAGACATTCTTTCAGATTTCTACTCAATTTCTCCTGCTGTGTGGTCCTCATCTGAATTTAAAATTCTACCTCCTTGCATGTGGTCTCTTTGTGCTCCTCTCTCCAGACTTGGCATCTCAGCAGAGCCATTTCTGTTTTGGGGTACTCCTTTTGAGGATGGACCCACCATGCTGGACATTTCTCCTTTCTGTTTTCGCAGGATGGACTGTTCTTTCCCCAGCGCCTGGTATTAAGTAGATTTCCAATACATATTACAGTATTCTTAAGGATTAAGAAGTAGTAGATGGTGCAGGGTCAGTATGCTAAGATGATGTCAGCCAAAGTGCATATATTTCTACCTGATTCAACGAAAGTAAATGTCACAATTTGCTTATCTTGACCCTGATTCTTTTTTACCCAAAATTTTTTTCCTGCAAAAAGTACAGTAGAGGTAGAGAAAATGGGAAAGGCTATCTTTATTTTTCCCCGAGAAACGGGTTTCCCCGTTTCTTTCTCAGATATGCCTATGTCTGATCTGAGAAGAGGATTGTCTACTAATGCCGAAAATTCAGACAAGCAGTGAGCAATGGGAGAGTATTACAGAATCAAAAAGAAAACAGGCTGCTGCTTATTTCTTTCCTTTCTTTCCTTGTTCTACCAGCATTTTTTGGGGTTCCAAGAATTAAGTGCTAGAGGTAGAATTAACTTTGAGATTAACAACACTGCTATAATCTTTTGTAAAAAAATTACAGTTTCATTATCATTTCACTCATTCTCAGTGGCTACTTGTTAGAGCATCTAGGCCTAATTTTTATATGGTTGCCATAGAATGAGGGAGTATAACAGTAGCCCACATTTATTGAGCATTTGCTATGCACTAGGTGCCATGTTAAGCACTCTACACGCCTTAACTCATTTAAGCATCGTAATACCCATTTTAGGTAGGTACTGATGTTATGCCCATTTTACAGGTGAGAAAACTGAGGTACAGAGGTTAATTATCTCAAGGTCACACAAGGTCAAGCCAAGCCATCATTGGACTCAGTCTGGGTCCAAAGTCTGTGTTGTAACCCACCACACTATACTGTCTCTTATACATTAGTTATCTGTTTTTTTTTCATAATGGTTATTAATATTTGAATGCACAATAGGTAATCTTTTAGCATACTCAATTAATGTAGTAACTGTTTGTCTTCATATATATCGTGTTAAGGTTCTTAATTTCAGTCAATCCTTTCAATATTTCTTAATAAATTATTGATCTGGATCTTAAGAAGGAGAAAGGTACACTTGGATTGAATTGATTCCTTCTGTGACCTTAGAATAAATTTTCTCATCAAGAAACTTGATCACCATCTTATATTTTTATTTTCCATAATAAATTGTGGACTTTACTCCATCTCTGAGCTCGACTTGTCTCATAGAGGTTTTCTGGCCATTTTATAGCAGCAAACCATGAAGCAGATACTTTTACCCCGTGAAAAGCTCCAGCTCTAGTGCCCATTTCCCAATATCAAGAGTTGAACTATCTCCAAGTGGGTCTGGCCCCCTCTTGTCTCAGTGGACTTCCCTTTGCATTCCCTTGGGCCCCTTAGGTTTGCTAACACTCAGGGGAAGAGGAGTGAGGTGGAGATGCTTGTTCTCTTTTGTACTTTTAAATCCGAGTGCTCAATTCACTTATCTGAATTTGTTAAGAGTGTTATATGTTGTGAAGTCTTTAATCATAGAGTCTAGTCTATATATGGGAGGTCTAATCTAGTCCCAAGCTTTTCCTTTTTTCCCCCTAGTAAAATAGTTGGGATGTAGCCTCCCACCAGGATTGACTTATACTGAAAAATGAGCCAGCATTTTTTGTTCCTACTCACTTGAGTTTCAGAAATTTGACTTCCTATTTCTTCAATAGTATTGAGATGTTATTAACACGTTAAGTATTTATATGTGGTTCAGTTTCAAAGTGTATTTCACCATGCATTTTTTTTTTTTTGTCATTCTCTGTTTTAACAGCAAGTTTTGTCTGCCTACAGGAGAATATTAAAAAGTGAGCCTCCATATCCCCAAGAAATGAGTGCTTTAGCTAAAGACCTAATTCAGCGTCTTTTGATGAAAGATCCCAAGAAGAGACTGGGATGTGGTCCACGTGATGCAGATGAAATCAAAGAACATCTCTTCTTTCAGGTGAAATTATTGAATAGATAAATGGTTTCCTACTCCTTGGTGTTTTCAGGGTCCTTGGCATTCTTGATGAAATTAATGAACACAGTGCCCCTTAGGATAATTTTCCACTGACATTTCATCATATCAGTAAGCCTGACCCAAATATTATGGTCTAAAGGGACCATCTAGGTTTTTTTTATTCTGTAAATTAAGCTTTTACATTATTATCACCAAAACAAATGAAAATAACATATCAAAATAAAAAAAAAAAAAAAACTTTCGTCAAGTAAGCTTGTGTTATTTATTTCTTTTTAAATATATAAAAACAAATATTGATTGGAAATGAGAATTATCTCTGCACTTCTGTGCTCAAAAAAAGGGCGTATTTCTTTCAGTCTGTCAATATAATTATTTTTAAAATACTACTGCACATCTTACAGAAGTTCAGTAACATAATGAGAAATACATTTAGAATCAAATAAACTTTATTATATGTATTTCATAGATTCACATGGCCTGGAAAGATTAGTCTTTGAACAGACTTTCAAATAACTTGTTCTGAAGTTTATCTCAAAAATTAACAGGTAAAATTTAAGAAATGATTTGAGCAAAGTAGCCCCAATCATATTTTCCTAAGATTGTTTTCTCCATTGCTCCCTGTATTTGAGAATATTGCAGTATGTCTTTCATATTAGAGAAATTTCTCTTTTCAGTAGCTTGGAATAGTAATTTTAGATTACTTAATTGCCTTGACTTTTTAAATGATCGGGACACTTTTGGAAAGACCAGAATTCTGCTTGTAAAGGCCTAAATGGCCTTTTTCTCTGTAAATGGAGCGGAGGTGGAAAGGATCATAACAGCATTCCATTTTCTACATATTAAACATTCTCCTGCTAACAACATGTTTCTTTAAATTACCCCTTTCCTATAGAAGTTTCTCTTAATATATGTACAATAGCCAAGCACAAGTTATATGCTTATAATGGAAAACATTACAGCTGCAGAGAGAAAAAAACACTAATTAGAAAGTCAAGAGACTGTGTTCAAATCCTGACTCTTCCACCAACTGGTGTTTGAATGAGAGAATCTTTCTTATTTCTGGGCTTCAGTTTCACTGAATCAAATAAAGAATATGAACTAAATGATCTCACTGAGAAATTTGAAGATCTGTAATTTAATTATTTTGTTCCTATTGCATCTACGAGACAGCATAATAAAATCATTGTATGGTAATTGATTAAACTTACTGAATTTTATCAACCAAGAAGTGCACATTTTCATATTTTATCATCACTGAAATTAGTATGCATATTACAGTGGCCATCATCTTATATTCTTATGATTAATACTTTTTTCTTAATGATACATAAAATAATTGTGTATCTTACTATCAGTGATGGCATCTTAGATTTGAAGAAATATGGTAATAGGAGATCTGTAGTATTTAATTCAGTAAGTATTATCTGAGGTTATTTTAAATGGTAGGAGCACAAAGAACCAGAGCAAAGGGTTGGATTTCAGTATTGTAACTCAGTAAGTGAAGTGACCTAGTTAGAAAAGGGGCTTGCATTCTGTGAGGGACATAAGAAGCAGTCTTTAAAATGCTTGAACACAGTTGAATAAGAAAAGAGTGATCACATCAGTATGATAGTATCATTTGAACTTCTAGACATAAGCACATGCATGATTTATGGTGAATTTATTTTCCAGTCTGTCCGGATGACCAGGAGGAAAAGCAAGTGCAGGTGGACAGCTAAGTAGCACTGCCTCTAGAAAATAGGTATATTCCTCTAGAGCTAATATCCACATCTGTAGAGCATTTGGAAACCCTTGATTTCAGTTTTTTGTTTTGTTTTGGATTTTTTGTTGTTTTCTTTTTGGCCTAACACCTTTCTGAAGAGGCTCAGGACAAAAGTATTTTTGCTATCTTTAATAGTAAACTAGGGTGTCTTGGTGCCCCCCAGAGGACACTCTGAGATTCAACAGTGATAGTCTCATCTTTGAGGCACAGCATTGGCTCAAGCTATAAACTGCTGTGGTCTTGCTTGGAAAAAGATATATTTTTTATTATTGATTTGAAATATGTTCCCTTATTTTTATTCTCTCTCCCTACCAGTCAAAATTCTAATCTATCTTTATTATTCTTAGGAAATACATTTTGGCTATTGATTTCTACTTCATACCAACTTTCTTTGTTTTAGAAAATAAATTGGGATGATTTAGCTGCCAAAAAAGTGCCTGCACCATTTAAGCCAGTCATTCGAGATGAATTAGATGTGAGTAACTTTGCAGAAGAGTTCACAGAAATGGATCCCACTTATTCTCCTGCAGCCCTGCCCCAGAACTCTGAGAAGCTGTTTCAGGTAATTGCCCATTCTGTGCACATGTACACTGGCCATATATCCTTTGAAAGAAAACATTAATTTTCCCATATCGAAGTAGTTTTGTTGGCATCATAAAAATGGGATTCTCTAATATCTTCAGAATTATTAAGTGCAGAAATATTGCAGATTGTTAACTGAAGCGTGTAGTTTGCTGAATAGCAGATATTGTTTATGTGTTTATTTTTGGTATAAGGGATGTTTTAATTTTACACCTGACATTTTATTTTTTTCAGACTATTTTATAGAAAATACAGTAGTCTTTTATTTTACCTCTATTCATATTAAAAAAATTTTTTTAATATAGACAGGGTCTCACTCTGTTGCCCAGACTGGAGTGCAGCAGTGCTATCCTAGCTCACTTCAGCCTCAGACTCCTGGGCTTAAGTGATACTCTCACATCAGCCTCTGGGATACCTGAGACCATAGGTGCAAACCAGCTTACCCAGCAAATTTTTGTGTTTTTTTTTTAGAGACAAGGTCTTGCTATGTTGTCTAAGCTGGTCTTGAACTTCTGGCCTCAAGTAATCCTCCTGTCTTGGCCTCCCAAAGTGCTGGGATTACAGGTGTGAGCCACCATGTTCAACCAAAAAAAAAAAAAAAACGATTTTTTTTAACAGAGCGGGTCTCACTCTGTCACTCAGGCTGGAGTGCAGTGGCACGATCGTAGCTCGTTGCAGCCTTGACCTTCTGGGCTCAAGGGATCCTCCTGCCCAAGCCTCCTAAATAGTTGGAACCAAGATGTGTGCTACCACACCCAGCTAATTAAAAAAAAAAAAAAATGTAGAAACAGGGTCTTACTTAGTTGCTTAGGCTGATCTTGAATTCTGGCCTCAAGCCATCCTCCTGCAATGGCCTCACAAAGTGCTAGGATTGTAGGCATGAGGCACTGTGCCCAGCCCCTGTATAAAAACATTCTTTAGTTCACAGTGCTATCTTATTCTTTACCGTCAATGACTAATCTTAACTGCTAACTCTTAAAAAAGATTTAGATTTTATATTTAGAAAAGGGTATTTGTCACACAAAATAAAATATTCTAACTATTAAATGGCATCAGAGCTTTGCTTTGACCAGTATAGCTTTAGTGTGCCTAATCTGGCCATCCAGACTATATCTTCTCTTCTTTACTTATCAGTGTCTAGTATGTGACTGGGCACTTATTGAACAGTTTTTTGAATGTCTGTTGATAAGTGAAGGGTTTCTAGCTTGAACAGATTAATCATCCATCTTTATACCACTTGGCTGAGAACATCATTCTGCCATTAGACTTTGTTCCTTTCCAAAACACAATTTTAAATTAATTCTGAAGATATAAATGAGAATCAAATAATTGTTAAACTAGAAACTAACTTTAATGAGACTTGCCACTTTTCCAGTTTGAAAAACAATAGCATTTAAAGACCACTTTGTGACTGGGACTGGTAGCTCATGTCTTTAATCCTAGCACTTTGGAGGCCGAGACGGTTGATCGCTTTAGGTCAGGAGTTCGAGACCAGTTCAAGACATGGCTAAACCCCATCAGGCATGGTGGCGTGTGCCTGTAATTCTAGATATTTGGAAGGGTGAGGCAGGAGAATGACTTGGGCACAGGAGGCAGAAGTTTCAGTGAGCCAAGATTGCACCACTGCACTCTCAATCTCAAAAAAAATTATATTAATAAAAAAAAAAAGACCGCTTTGTTTAATACATTGATTGAATTTTTTTGAGAAGTCAGTTATGTTTATAAACAAATTTTTATCAGCAAACCAGGAAAATTTCATCTATGAGTCTGATTTTAGGGGTGAAAAAGGGAAGAAGTCTTGTTCTACCTTTACTTTTGAACTGGTTTAGTTCTACCAGAAGATGGCATTATATCCTTCTGAACAGCATTGTTCAAATGATTTGAAATAATCTTGCATTTTAGATTGCAAATAAAATAAAATTAGACTCAATCTCAACAAATATTCAAGTGTTTTTCTAAGAAAAAATGTCATTACAGTCTAATCTGTGCTAAACTGGAAAACTGCAATTCGTTTTTCTTTATATTTCTTTGTCTTGTTTTTAGGGCTATTCCTTCGTTGCTCCTTCCATCCTATTCAAGCGTAATGCAGCTGTCGTAGACCCTCTTCAGTTTCACATGGGAGTCGAACGTCCTGGAGTGACAAATGTCGCCAGGAGCGCAATGATGAAGGTATAGATGTGGTAACTTATATGACATGTTTGTAGATTTTGTGAGTGTTTAAATACCAACTCTAATTAATCTTAAATCTAGTAAGTTTCATAAATTTGCCATTCAACTAAAGTGGAATTTAAAAAAAATGGAAATAGCAATTATTTTCCCTAAAGAATTAATGTCAAGTTGAATGAGCTTCTTTTCACAATGATAGAGTATTATGTATCTTAAATAATTACATAGATGAAAATAGAAATTACCTGTAAAGTAAGATGAATTTTAGATTATAAATGTCTCCTATTCCTATTTATTAATATTAATACTTTTATTTTACTCTATAATTTATTTGATCCCTCGTGTATTACTGACATTTTCTCAAGTTAAATGATGTTGGTTTCTAAACAGGACTCTCCATTCTATCAACACTATGACCTAGATTTGAAGGACAAACCATTGGGAGAAGGTAGTTTTTCAATTTGTCGAAAGTGCGTGCATAAAAAAAGTAACCAAGCTTTTGCAGTCAAAATAATCAGCAAAAGGTATGACCATTTATAATATAATATTCTTTCTTATGAATTCTGTAAATTAAGAGTATTTATTTAAAATGAATATTCAGGAGAATCGCTTGAACCCAGGAGGCAGAGGTTGCAGTGAGCCGAGATCGAGCCACCGCACTCCAGCCTGACAATAGAGCGAGACTCCATCTCAAAAAAAAAAAAAAAAAGAAACCGTATTACATTGTAAGACTTTTTTACCCGTAGGTTTAACCATTTAGCTCATCAGTTGGTCCATTATACTTCTAGCTCTGATTGATATTTTCTGATAAAGTAATCCATGTTAGACATAAATCATAGTTTTATGTGCTTTCAAGTTTGGAGAAAACTTCTTTGTGACAGCGACATATTTAATCAGTCTCAGTGATTTTAGCAACCATTGCTATTTCTACTAGTTGTATATTTGAAACTCTTTTCTCTAAAATTATTTAGCAAGCTACTGATAGCTTTGAGAACCATCTAGTTGTTTTGGTAACTTATGATTATCATTAAGATTGCATATTCTTATTACCAAATTGTCAGACAAGTAGAGCATTCATTTCTTCATATGATTTGTACTTTTCTGAGTCAGAAATATTAATCTTCTCCAGAATACTACTTTTCCTAGTATGTGGTATAATTGATTACTTTCATGGAACCCTCATTACTATATACTATAACATGTATATTCTGAATGCACTGTAAATAAAAACAAAATTAGTCTTGGGGCAGTACTGATATTAAAAACTGGCTTGAAGAGACATGTAGATGCTAAGTGTTTCATCTTGCAGGATGGAAGCCAATACTCAGAAAGAAATAACAGCTCTGAAACTCTGTGAAGGACACCCCAATATTGTGAAGTTGCATGAAGTTTTTCATGATCAGGTATCCTGCTTTTTTTTCTCTGTGTACTAATTCACATACAAGGTTGTACTTTTCACCGGTTTTGTTGGTGCTGCTGGGTCAGAGTCAGGGATATGGGACATCACCCAGCCACCAGAAAGGACAGAGGATCCACCCTCCCAAACCCCTCCCCAGTCACACACTGTTCCCCAACTCCAAATCAGGTTATCTATTCGCTTCTCATGCTTTTCACACTCAGTAGTTGCCACCTATGAACCTATGACAGGAAGAAGGGGGGCGGGCAGGAGCTCACTGGTGCAGTCATTAGCCACAATGTCCTTGTTGCCAGTGCAACTGCTACCCACCATCACTTAATCCTGAAATACCTCTCAGGACTCAGGAATTTTGAGCCTCCAGCTTCCCTTTCGCTTCTTGAGTAGAACTGAGAAAGTCTGGAGCCTAATTAGTGCAAGCTAAAGGACAAATAGGAAGTAGAAAGCAAAGATACTCCTTTTATCTTCTAGCTCCAGGTGGTAAATTCTGTTCAGACACCTGGCCAGGTCAGCCTGCCCCCTCTTCTACTCTCAGTCCTGCTTTGCATCCGGGGGGAGGAGCCCCATGTATCCAGTTCATGTCTGTTCACCTCACCCATGACAGAAATTGCTCCATTACACTATTCTCTGCCCCTGAGACCAGCGGTGGCGGGGAGGTGATGCAGTCCTACTCAAGACAACTTGGAGGCACAAGAGTGCAAGCCAATTCTGAATGTGCTCCAGTTTTACCAGTGAAGAAACAGATTTTGAATGGTCATAAAACTTATCCAAGGTCACATAGCAAGTCAAAGCGAATCTAATAAGGAGAACCTGGACTCCAGCTTTGGGCTCTCTTTGTTGTGCTGTTGTAATATCTGTGACCAAGGATCAATGGGGCCCAGTTCTCTACCACATTGAAATATCCTCGAGTGCTATTGCCAGGAATGATACATCATGGTGAGACCAGGCAGCAGCAGCAGTAGCACCACAACCATAATATCTGCTGCCATTTATTATCATATATCTCGTGTGGTCTAGGTCCTGTACCAGGCACTCTGCATGTATTATCTTACTCAGTCCTTACCACAGACCCATGAGGTGAGAAAATAGGCACTCACAGAAGTTAATTAGCAGGTTTTACAGTTGGTAAGTGTGGTAAGGCCGGGATCTGAATCACACAGTCCAATTTCAGAGCCCAACCAGCTTTTATTTACTTTGCAATACTGCCTTAGGGAAAGCAGAATCACATCTAACAGTAAGCACCCAAAAATGGTGTCCTCCTCTACTCACTCTTTGGTTCTTATAGTCAGAAAAGAAATGCTACTGAGGCAAGGACTCGGGGAACCGCTGTCCCTGATCCTCCACCTCCTCTGCCTCATCAAGTCACTCGACACCAGAGGAGGTAGGGAGTCCCTTGGCCATGAAGGTGCTTAAGAAGAGGCTCACTGGACAGTCTCCTATTGAAGACGACATAGAGGAAATTCACATAATTCAAGGAATCAATGGGTGATCTTAGATGTTCCGTCTGGGTTTGCAGCTGTACCGGTACCTACATCCCAGACAAATATTTGATCTGTGACCTTTAGACTAACGTCAGGTCCCAGGAACTACATTCCTAATTTTTATTTATGTCACAAATTCAGTAGATGTTTTGCTATTTATATATTCAGGAGTTAGTAAAATATAAATTGTCACATGATATGATCCTAAACAAACTAGTATAAATTACATTGTCAGTCTAATATGCAGTTGTAATGTATCTTGGGATTTTCCCATGATGGTGACACAGTTGCCTAGATCATCCCTGTATCCAATCTTTTCTTCAACTAATGTGTAAAATTGGTTATGATGGGTCTTCAGCCTTTGTGCATTAGTGTAGTTCATTTTGTGTGCCGTGATATGCATTTCACATACTCCAGGAGTTTGCTATTGCTGCTGCAACAAATCACCACAAACTTAAAACAATACAAATTTATTGTCTTTCAGTCTGGAGGTCAGTAGTCCAGAATCAGGTTCATTGGCTTAAAGTCAAGCTGTCAGGAGGGCTGGTTCTCTCTAGAGCAGAACCAGGCGCACAGCCGGAGGTGAGCAGCGGCAGGTGAGCCAGCACTCCTGCCTGAGCTCCACTGCCTGGCAGGTCAGCCACAGCATTAGATTCTCACTGGAGCACAAACCCTTTTGTGAACTGTGCATGCGAGGGATCTAAGTCGCAGCACTCCTTATGATAATCTAATGCCTGTTCTGCCCCACTACCACCTCCCCTCTTCCATGGAAAAATTGCCTTCTGTGAAACCATTTCCTGGTGCCAAAAAAGTTGGGGACGTGGCTCACGCCTGTAATTCCAGCACTTTGGGAGGCCAAGGCAGCTGAATCACTTGAGGCCAGGAGTTTGAGACCAGTCTGGCCAACATGGTGAGACCCTATATCTACCAAAAAATACAAAAAATTAGCTAGGTGTGGTGTTCACACACCTGTAGTCCAAGCTGCTCCGGAAGCCAAGGAGGCTGAGGTGGGAGAATTGGTTGAACCTGAGATGGGGCAGGGAGGGGAGGTTGCAGTGAGCCGAGACTGCACCACTGCACTCCAGCCTGGGTGATAGTGTGAGACCCTGTCTCCAAAAAAAAAAAAAAAAAAAAAAAAAGTTGAGAACCACTGCTCTGGAGACTCTAAGGGACAGTTTACTTGCCTTTTGTAGCTTCTAGACACCTCCCAACATTTTGACTATGAATCTTCCATGCATCACTCTTAAGATCTTGCCTCCAGGGTCACATATCATACTGCTAACTCTGATGAATAATTCAGGATAATCTCCCATTTGCTAGTCATATCTGCAAAGGCCCTTTTGCCATCCTTCTAAGGTAACCACCACAGGTTCTGGGCATTAGAACGTGAACATTTTTGGAGGCCCGTCATTCAAGCTCTACCACACATACATTTTCTCATTGTTATCTGCATTTTATTGATAGGGATCCCAAAGTTAATACGATAAAGTAGCATCCCCAAGATCATGAGTAAATAACAGAATTCACCTTCAAATCCAGGTTGAACTCTAAGTCTCTTCTTCCACCACTACAGGTATTGCCTTACATCTTTTTAAATCTCACCAGTCTACAGTTGGAGTAGACCTGCAGCCTCGACTTTATTTGTCTGATAGAGAAACTCAAATTAGCTTGATGTATAGCACGTTGGGAGCAATTTTCTTGTTAGAAGGCTGTTCACTCTACAATTTGTCTAATATGTTCAGGATAATGTACTGATAATTATCTTTTTATGAGCAGTTTATTCTGAGTTTTGCTAATACAGAAGGAAACATTTTGTTTGTGATGTGATGTTGGCCCTATAATGCTTAGCACCTGAATTCAGTATATCGGTATAATATCTTTTCCTAAACCATTTGTGTTCATTTGAGAGCTGATTAAGTCCTTTGTTTTTTTCTTTTTTGAGATAGGGTCTCACTCCATCACCCAGGTTGGAGTGCAGTGGCACAGTTATGGCTCACTGCAGCCTTGACCTCCTGAGCTCGAGTGATTCTCCTACCTCAGCCTCCTGAGTAGCTGGATTGTAGTTGTGCTCCACCATGTCTGGCTAATTTTTGTTACTATTTTTTGTAGAGATGAGGTCTTATTATATTGTGTAGGCTGGTCTTGAGCTCCTAGGCTCAAGCAGTCCTCTTACCCTGGCCTCTGAAAGTGCTGGGATTATAGTCCTTTGCTTTTTTATAGTTCCTATGTTATTTTCTTCATGGAAATTGTGCATTCTGACAGAAAAGGGCCAGGGGTGGGGAAGAAGAGAAAGCGTGGTAAACATATAACTTATAAAGTAACTACGAAGATAATGCTGTTGGGATTAAAGCAGAAACCCATAGTGAGTTTATGGGTATTTGTAATGAATATTAATAGGAACCCTGAAACTAACCTGTTGAGTCCTAACAAGAGGTTCAAAATGACAGTATCAAACAATAACTTTTTTAATTTTAATATTTTTTTTTGTAGAGATGGAGTCTCACTGTATTGACCAAGCTGGTCTTGAACTCCTGACCTCAAGCAACTCCCACCTCAGCCTCCCAGAGTGCTGGGATTACAGGTGTGAGCCACTGAGCCCAGCCTCAATATCTTTTTTAAAAGATTAGTTTGCCATTAGATGGGTGTGCCAGGCCTCATTTGGGCAGTTGCCCATTCTACTCAGTCGGTATTCAGAGTCTATATTGTTTAAAGCAAGTGATTTCACATTATTGTCAGCAGTTTAAAAAGAAATGTGTAAACTTAATAGAGAGGGTCGGAGTGGAATTCAAATGAAATAATTAGCTGGGTACAGTGCTGCACATCTGTTGTCCTAGCTCATTGGGAGGCCTGAGATGAGAGAATCCCTTAGGCCAGGAATTTAAGGCCAGATTTCTTTTTAGAGACCTCATTCTTAAAACAAAACACTACAAATGAAAGAATTAATCACGGAAGGGATAAAGGATATACAGTATAAAGATTTCACAGCAGTACTTGAAATTTTCCATTACTGAAATAGAATTCTAAAATAGCTACAGTATCTTTCAGCTCTTTCCTCTAAGATACAAGGATTGCTATTGATTATTTAAACTTATTGGTGCTAGTCAATAAATGTTGTATATGTTAATAAACTTCTACCGTGCTTCAGGAAGGCCCACCACATTATTCTTTTTTTTTTCTAGCTTCACACATTTCTAGTGATGGAACTTCTGAATGGGGGAGAATTGTTTGAACGCATTAAGAAAAAGAAGCACTTCAGTGAGACGGAAGCTAGCTACATCATGAGGAAGCTTGTTTCCGCTGTAAGCCACATGCATGATGTTGGAGTGGTGCACAGAGATTTGAAACCTGAGGTATAAAATAACTTGATCTCTTATGTAATCCAATGTAGCATCATTGTTAAAGATCTCCCAAACATGTGGGAGGTTTCTGAGGAGATTTCCTTATTTTTTTGCTTTTCAGGGCTGTTAAATAGATAATTAAAAATACGTTTCTTGGATTTTTTTTTTCTTTTATATTTCAGGTTAAAATAAATTTGTCTTTGTTTGTTTTTTGCCAGCTGATCATCTTGAGGTTATATTTGTTAAGTGTGAGAGCCTTTTATGGAAAAAATACTTTATGCAACAGTTGTGGACTAAAAATAGCAATGGGAATTTTTATAGCAGAAAATAATATCTCATACATATAATTTTAGAGGGTTTTTTTCTAAATGATGTATTTTGAAAACTTATTTTTTACATTTGTAATCAAATTGGTTAGCTCATGAATAAAAATGTATATAATGCTATTCTAAATACTTAAACATAAAGAATTGTCTTGGTTTAATTAGTTATACCATCTTTCTGTGTGCTTTCTGTGATTGTGCTATCATATTTATAGAACTATGCAGAAGTAACAGCTTTTTATATATCTCCTCTTATGAAAGGCTAATAGAAAACATTCTTAGAATGATCCCTTTTTAGTATCAAAAATATGAAAATTCCTTCCTTTTAGAAAATCAACAAAATAATGAAAATTGAAAAACAAAAACTAATATGTATAAAAAGATAACGATGATTCACCCTTTACCATATACAAAATTGTACATGTTCTCTCCAAAATAGAACTTTGTTTAATTATCATGTGACTATAATACATTATCAAGTATATTTAAAATATTAACGTATTTGATGTTCCTTTTGTGATTAAGCCACAAAAGAATATTTCTCTAAAAGTACTATTTTTGCCTTTTACTTAAGTACCTTGAATTATCAGAAGAGGAGGATGTTCTAAAAATGGAATTTTTTTTTTTGAGACGGAGTTTCACTCATGTTACCCAGGCTGGAGTGCAATGACGCGATCTCGGCTCACCGCAACTTCCGCCTCCTGGGTTCAGGCAATTCTCCTGCCTCAGCCTCCTGAGTAGCTGGGATTACAGGCACGCGCCACCATGCCCAGCTAATTTTTTGTATTTTTAGTAGAGACGGGGTTTCACCATGTTGACCAGGATGGTCTCGATCTCTTGACCTCGTGATCCACCCGCCTCGGCCTCCCAAAGTGCTGGGATTACAGGCTTGAGCCACCGCGCCCAGCCTAAAAATGGAATTTTTAAATGGAATGTTAAAAATTCCATTTTTAAAACATCCTCCTCTTCTAATAATTCAAGGTACTTAAGTATCTCAACTTTACATGCAGAAGAAAATTTTGTAATGGAATTCTGTGCCTTAAAACATATTTGATTTATTCCTTTCATGTATTTAAACTTCTGTCTATGTATTTTCTATTACTGTTATTCACATTACTAGTAATTAATCAAAAGTGAATTGTGTTTTATTAGCTTGCAGCTATGATAGCTCCCCCTGCTTCCTTCATCATAGTTCTCACTCTCCTACATAACACCCACTGAAAATATGGTGCTTTGTACATTGGAGATTAGCTGTCTATTTTTAAATGTGAAAGCACACCACTTAAATGTTTTCTTGATAGACAAGGAACAAGCATGTAGTTTTTTTAATTGAAAAGATCTGTTCCATGACTGTATAGAATTCATTTTCACATGTTTTATTCTTTGAAAACTGGCCATCTGTCACCTCATGAGTCTCAAATGAGGCAACTGTCCTCTCTTGCAGAATTTAGATTTGCATTCCTCCTTTCCTGATAAAAAGATACTCATGTAGCTTGATTCTTCTCGTTTGTTGTACGGTTTTTCTTTCAAATACTCACTTGAAATGAGACAGAACTGTCAGATTACTTGGGACATTCAACTACAATTATAGTCCTAAATCAAACTAGATTTTGGAGAAACGAAAATGTACCTTTGAACTAATATTTTCATACTAAAATATCTTTCACTTTGGCTTTTAAATGGCAGTATATGTCATTTCCAAACTAAAAGTTTAATATTTTTCCCATGAGGCACTTTAAGGTCTGATTATCTCTTTTGGTAGGTAGCTGTGTGGATTCATTTTCTGTATAGGCAGAATCCTAAGTCTAGGTAAGAGTCAGATAAATTTAGAAGCTGGCTAACATTCTTAGTAAGCTGCTTTGTATTTTTCAAACTTGTTCTGAGCTTAAGAAAAGTTGCATACATCAAATTTGTTTCAGGCAGAACTTGAGGATAAAATGGGATCGAATGGTGACTTCCCACCATTCCTGACTAGGCACACCATCCTCCATGTAGAACTGTCACTGACTTTGAGCTTGAGACGAGGTAGGCAAGTGAGCAGTGTTTCTCAATTTTACATGCTCAGGAATAGGAGGAATGGATTAAAGTCACCAAATTGAAGTGATTGCCACATCCCCTCACTTCTTCCCCTTTAAGAACTGGATTTGGCCGGGTGCAGTGGCTCATACCTGTAATCCCAGCACTTTGGGAGGCCGAGGTGGGTGGATCACTTGAGGACAGAAGTTTGAGACCAGTCTGGCCAACATGACAGAACCCCATCTCTATTAAAAATACCAAAAAAAAAAAAAAAAAAAAAAAAAATTAGGCATGATGGCAGGCGCCTGTAATCCCAGCTACTTGGGAGGCTGAGACACCAGAATCACTTCAATCCAGTAGGTGGAGGCTGCAGTGAGCTGAGATCACACCACTGCACTCCAGCCTGGGCTACAGAGCGAGACTGTCTCAAAAGAAAAAGAACTAAAATCAAGGAAGCCCTTTACCAGTCTTAATATAGAATAAACGTAGTCGTTTCCAAAGACTTAGCAGGCTCAATGAAGACAAGGCCAGCTGTAGTTCATTCAGCTGCTCTGTGTGGTACAGTGCCTTGTACTGCAGAGGAGTTCAGGTGTTATTTGCTGAAAGACTTCTTCCCAAGCACATGTCCATCAACCCCAGCTGTGACTTCCTTGTCACAAATTCATGATTAAACATTGTATGCTAGAAAATTTAAGACAATTTTTTAGCTAATTTTTTTGTTTTTCTTTCCACCCACTTTATTCACTTGCCAAATGGAAGGTTTAGGAGATTTTTCTTCTTTGCATCAGTGATACCTTCTATAATGTGTTTTATTTCAGCTAGAATAGCATTAACAAAGCAAATGATGTTCCAGAGCTGGGAACAATTTAATGACTATAAAGGCGTAACAGATTTTGTTAGGATGCCTAAAAACAATATAATCAGATTTCACTTACTTTCAGTACTAGTTTAATGTGCTTATTAAAATAATTTGTGCATCAGTACAGTTAGTATTTATTAAGCATGTGATAAAAACAAAAAGTAATATTACAAAGCCTTAGTGATCAAGAAGGCTTGGTAGATGAATGATTCAAAATAATAATGTTTTCTGAATATTTAAGGGATAATATCTCTACATATCAAAATATGTTTAAGTATTAGCTGTTGGAGAAGATATTTCTGAAATGTAATGGTATCTCCACCATGTCTCCTTCAATAGGCAATGCTAGATATTATATAGCTATTTTATTTGTGACTTTATTCAATGAACACATATTTACCAAAGCACCTACTCTATGTCTTTGCCAGGCCCTGGGGTAGGGTCAAAAAATAAGGTAGACACACAGTCCCTGTCTTTATGGAATTATGGTATAATGGGGATGAAGACATTAAACTAGCAATACAGAGGTGATCAGTGCCAGAAAGGAAAAGTAAGTAGTGTTAGGAAAAAATATTAAAAGTTCTAACTTCAGTTTGGTAGGATGGTTAGGATGGTAACTCTAAATGAGGAGTAGATGTGGGGGAAGGTAGGTTGGTGGAGGAAACAACTAAGGGAAAAGCTTAGACAGGGTCTGACATCAGGAGAGGCATAGTGCAGTTGAAAAATGTTTCATGTGATGTGGTAAAATTGAAATAATACCAAAAGCATCATGCAGAGTGCATTGATGCCCTGCCTTCTGGCCTCCCCATGAGACCTCTCTGTGCATGAATCAACTATCAATATACAGTGTTAAATAAATAGAACCAGCAAATCCCAAGACATGTCTAGTGAGAAACTAATGTAAGCATTGATATCTTGCAGAATTTATTGTTCACTGATGAAAATGACAATTTGGAAATTAAGATAATTGACTTTGGGTTTGCACGGCTAAAGCCACCAGATAATCAGCCCCTGAAAACTCCATGCTTCACCCTTCATTATGCGGCCCCAGAGCTCTTGAATCAGAACGGCTACGATGAGTCCTGTGACCTGTGGAGCTTGGGCGTCATTTTGGTGAGTTCGTTTCAATAGAGCCATTTAACCTGCTCGTTTCTTTGGTGTCCTCTCCCCTTATCTCGCTCCTCACTGTTTCCTTACATTCATGAAAAAATTGACGAATTGGTTTCTTGTCTGTACAACCAGTTAGAGGCCTGACCGAAGAGTATTTCCCTTTCTTAAAACTTATATTAGAGAAAAATTAGGAATTTTTATTTTGGTTCATTTTAAAATATTTAAGTTAGCTGTGTTTTATATGAATGAGAATTAAAGGAACTATAGTATATATTTTTAAAGACATATTGGACATAATGTGAAAATAGCAAAGTGATTCATCAATAGAAAAACATTTTTAAAAAACTATTCTGTGAAGTTTCAGACTAAAATGTAATTAAAGAATACCATTTAGGCTAAATTAACACAAATAGATTAAATTAGATGTATTTCTACTACATAATTTAAAGTAATTGTGAGCATGCTTTTCACAAAACGTCCTTGGCTGCTGTGATTAGAAACAGAACATTAAGCTGGTAAAATCTTGCATTTTTTCCTCCAAATATTGTTACTTTTTCCACATATAATGTGTAATGCATAATCGTGGGAAGATTTCAGACAGTACAGAAAGAAGAAACAAGGTGAAAATTACTCATAATCTTCTAGAGAGATGTATAGCTCAAGTTCTCCCTCTCCCTCCAGCCTCTCCTCCCCTGTAGGTATGTAGACTTTATATCTCTCCATGTTTTCTATATACGTGTACATATTAGAATTTTTAAACAAATAGGAATATATTATACCTGTATTTTGAATCTCTAAAACTTATTTAACCATTTATTGACTAATAAGTTAGCATTTTTTTCATTTTTTTCACTAATTATAAGCTACCCAAATGAATATTTTTTATATATGTGTTTGTGTTTGTCTCACTGTTTCCTGAGGATGGATTCCCAGGAGAAGGATATATACAAGTTTCTTTTAACATATGTGCCTAGATTTCCTTCTAAAAGATTTACCAGATTATGTTCTCATCAACTGTATGGGAGTACCTTGGCTATCAGTTTTCATCTGAAATGCTATCCCGTTGTGATAATTTGCATGCATTTCTTTGATGAATATTTAGGTTGAGCATCTTTTCATGCATTTGAACATTTATATTTTCTCTTTTATCTTAATTACCTTTTTTTTTTTTTTTTTTGAAATGGAGTCTTGCCATGTTGCCCAGGCTGGAGTGCAGTGGCACGATCTTGGCTCACTGCAACCTCCACCTCCAGGGTTCAAGCCATTCTCCTGCCTCAGCCTCCCAAGTAGGTGGGATTATAGGTTTGTACTACCATGCCTGGAATATTTGCAGTTTTAGTAGAGTTGGGGTTTCACCATGTTGGTTGGGCTGGTCTCGAACTGCTGACCTCAGGTGACCCGCCTGCCTCAGCCTCTCAAAGTACTGGGATTACTGATGTGAGTCACCGTGCCCAACCTCTTTTATGAATTGATCTTTATGAGCTTTGTCCATTTTCCTATGGGGAGATTTTTCTTACTGCATTTTAAAGCTCTATTAAAGACTTTCATTCTTTGACATTAATACTGGAAATGTTTTTTCTGGTGTGTCACTTGTTTTAAAACTATATGGCGGTGGCTCACACCTGTAATCCCAGCACTTTGGGAGGCTGAGGCAGACGGATCATGAGGCCAGGAGTTCAGACCAGCCTGGCCAACATGGTGAAACCCAGTCTCTACTAAAAATACAAAAAATAGCCAGGCATGGTGGCACGTGCCTGTGGTCCCAGCTACTCGGGAAGCTGAGGCAGAAGAATTGCTTGAACCCAGGAGGCGGAGGTTGCAGTGAGCCGAGATTGTGCCACTGCACTCCAGCCTGGCGACAGAGCAAGACTCCGTCTCAAAAAAAACCCAAAAAACTGTATATAGTAATATGGGATTTTGATTTTGTTTTTAGAGGGGTTTAAACAGAGAAGATTCTTAAATGTCTATGTACTAAGATATGTCAGTCTTTTTCTTTATGATATTTGTCTTTGATGTCAGATTGTCACTCCACCCAAGATTATAAAAATATTCTCCTAAATTTTTCTCTAGAATTATTATATTTTACTTTTATGCTTAAATTTGGTATTTATTTTGATGCCAGTTGTTTTTCCCCAATGACAAGTCACTTGTCCCTGCAGGATGGTGGTTCTTTTATTTTTAAGTTTTATATAGTTTTTATCTCATCAATTTTCAGTCATCATTTATAATTTTGAAACTAAACTTACATATTTGTGAATAACATTTTAAACAAAAATAAACTGACTTGTAGGTCTGAGTTTTGTTAAAGGACTTAAATTGATGACATTTTTATTGGTAGCATGTCTTAAAAATTAATCTAAATAAAAAAGAGACTTTCATTTTTAAGAATTTATTTTCTCTTGTACAAGGCCAGTTATGTCCATCAAACCCTTGAAGGTTCTAAAAGGCAGTCTTAAACATGCAGCAAGGTATTTTGGAGCCTCTGAATTCCTTAACTATAGAAATAACTTTGTGAAATGACGTGAATGGAAGCCGTGCTTCTCTCTAGATCTAATTGTCAAATTTTTAAGAAAAATAGGACAAAAAACCAGGCCAAATGATATAACAGAGTATAATCACAATATCCAGTCTGTGGGAAGTTCTACTGAACAAACAACCCAGTTTCTTCAACAGATAAATGGTAAGAAAAGGTAACCTGAGAACTTACAGATGAAAAGACATATAAGAAACAGTGTTTGCATCTTACTGAAATCCTGATTGAAGCACTTTCTAATTTAGATTTTTTTTTTTTTTTGCGGCAGAGTCTCTCCCTCTGTCACCCAGGCTGGAGTGCAGTGGCTCCATCATAGCTCACTGCAGGCTCAAGCGATCCTCCTACCTCAACCTTCTGAGTAGCTGGAACCACAGGCACATGCCACCATACCCCACCTAATTTTTTTTTTTTTTTAATAGAAATGAAGTCTTGCTTTGTTGCACAGGCTGGTCTCAAATTCCTGGCTTCAAGTGATCCTCCCGGCTTGGCCTCTCAAAATGCTGGGATTACAGACATGAACCACAGTGCCTAGCTTAATTTAAATTCTATTTATTAAATTCAAATTAAATGTAATTCATGTAGATCTAATTTATATACTATGTGTATACTACAGCCAGGGAAATTTGAACATTGATTAGAAATTTGAATAAAATTGAATGATACAAAGAAATTACTACTAAGTTTTTTTAGATGTGATATTGGTGTTGTAGTTGTGGTTTTAAAAGTACTTGCCTTTTATGGCCAGACACAGGGGCTCACATCTGTAATCCCAGCACTTTGGGAGGCCAAGGCAGGAAGATTGCTTAATCCCAGGAGCTCAAGACCAGCCAGGGCAACAGAGTGGGATCCAGTCTCTAGAGGAAAAAAAATTAATTTTTTTTTTTTTTTTTAGTCAGTCTCACTCTGTTACCCAGGGTGGAGTGCAGTGGCACCATGTCGGCACATTGTAACTTCTATCTCCTGGGTTCAAGCAATTCTCCTGCCTTAGCCTCCTAAGTATCTGGTATTACAGGCGCCCACCACCATGCCTGGCTAATTTTTTTATATTTCTAGTAGAGGCAGGGTTTCACCATGTTAGCCAGGCTGGTCAAACTCCTGACCCCAGGTGATCCGCCTACCTCAGCCTCCCAAAGTGTTGGGATTACAGGCATGAGCCACCGCCCTGGTCCCCCAAACTTTTTTTAATTAGCTGGGCATGGTGGCTTATGCCTGTAGTCCCAGCTACTTGGGAGGCTGAGGTGAGAGGATCACTTGAGTCCAGAGGTTAAGACTGCAGTCAGCTGTGATCACGCCACTGCACTTTAGACTGGGTGACAGAGCAAGACCCTGTCTCCAAAAAACAAAAGTCCTTGCTTTTTAGAGGTACATGATAAAATACAGATTAAAATGAATGAAATTAATATCTTCATTAAGCTATCGGAAAAAAAGGAGTGCTCTGCTAACTTTTCCATATAAATGAATGCATCTAGATACAAAGGCTGAATTATCCCATAACAAGCACAAAATTTATTTCAAGTCTCCTGATTTGTTTTAAAAATAAATGGAAGTTTTGTATTTTACACCTAAAAAACATGCATGTGGATATTTTAACATGAAAACAAATTATATTGTCCCCACTGAATAAAATAAATACTCCAGGAAGATACATCATGTAGTATTATGAGGTTTTGATTATAACCCATTATACCCTATGGATATACAATCCCTGCCTGAAATGTGTAGGACTTTAATAAAAATAGAGCTTACACAGTATATTAATCTGCTTAGGCTGCTGTAACAGAATACCACAAATTAGGCATCTCAAACAACAGAAATTTATTTTCTCACAGTTCTTGATGCTGGGTAGTCTAAGATCTAGGTGCCAGCAGGATTGGTGTCTGGTGAGGGCCCTCTCCTTGGGTTACAGATGGCCACCTGCTTGCTGTGTGTACACATAGCCTTTCCTTGGTCTGTACCCTCACAAAGAGAAAGTGTCTGTCCCTTTAAGGACACTAATTCTCTTGGATCAGGGGCCTACCCATATAACATCATTTAACCTTAATTACCTCCCTAAAGGTCCTGTCTCCAAATACAGTCACATGGAGAGCTGGGGCTTCACGTATAAATCCCCAGGGGGTGGGGGGAGGACACAAACATTCAGTCCATAGCACACAGTGTTTAGAGAAAGTAGGATAAGATATGTAACATTCCTGTGAGTTGTCGTAAAATTTTGTTTAAAATATTTTCTCTAAGTGTTTTATACTCGGGACCTTATTTTTTAATTTTTTTCTCAAAATTTTATTTTGAAAATTTTAAAGCTGGAGAAAATAAAAGAGAATAATACTGTGAACATATGACATTTTGCTGCATTTGCTTTTTCTTTCTCTCTAATTATCTCCAGTGTGCATCCTCTCTATGTGTGTATGTATGTAACATGAACATGTATAATACATATATACAGACATACATATATGATACATATCTTTATGTG